TCATAAAAATTGAGTCTCTGAGCACCCCTTCATATGCAATTAAATTCTATCTCAATGTAGAACATATGGGAAACAAGAACATTATACTCTTCTTACACTTTGAAACAAATCCACCATTTTGTGAACTTGGGCAAGGTCGTTTCTGATTTCTTCATCCACGTATTGAGGAGAACAGCACCTGCCTTGTAAGATTCAGATGTGTATGAAGTGAGATGCATGTGCAGTGTGGAGCTGCCAGGGTAGTATATTTGATGTGTCGGGGCCGTGTTTCTTACCTGCTGCCCTGTGTTCACTGTGTCTGGTACCATGTCCAACACACAGCTGGCACTTAAATGTGTGTTAAGTGGTTAATGAGAGAAAGATACCGAGAATCTAGGAAAACAATTAGACCGTTTTCTCCTTCCTGTTCATCTCATTTTAAATGAGCTGGGCAAAGGAAGGTAGTTTTAAAATTAACAATAGGGGCATTCTAATCCTAGTGTATGTTCAGTATTTGTCCATGACACTGCATAATTAATAACTTTTTAAATGTGTACTCCTGTGATAGATGGTTTGCCAGGACCATAGTCAATCCTAGTCTTTTGCTTACTAAGTAGCAGAGAAGACTGTTGGAATAGTTTATCTGAAATTTGGATAGGGAAGAGGACCAGTTTTGTCAGAACTTACATCCTCATTGACTTAATATTTAAGTTTTCTTCATATGAAATACAGACATCCTGTACTGGTGTAGCTGAGGACAAGAAATCATCGCCTTGTAAAGTGTTGGTTTTAAAATGGGATTTGAAGACATTGTAATAAAGTCCAGGAAAGAACATTTTTTCAACCAGGAAAGAACTTTTTCCCCAAACCAGCCATTCATTCCAAAAACTTTAAAATATGTGTATAAGAAATATGTTTCTTAATTAAAGTAATATACCTACAGAAGAGCAGAACACACACTCACAAATGTATAATAAAGTGAATTTTCACAAAGTGAGCGCATGGGTGATCACCACACAAATGAAGACCTAGAATAAATATTACCACTTCCCCAGAAGCCCTTCTTGTGGCCCCTCCTGGTCTCTATGCATCCCTGTCAAAATGGCAACTATTCTGTCAAACACCGTAGTTTTGTACTTAAGATTCTGATTTTTTTGCTAGTGATCATGTAGTAATAGTTTGCATGTGTAGTAACAGTTTGTTTGCTTTCATTGCCGAATAGCGCTCTGTTGTATGATTGATTATTCTGTAGTTTATCTGATCCTCGGACAGTGGTCATTGGGTTGTTTCTAGTTTTGGGTTTTTATGTCTGACGATGCCACAGCCATTCTCGTACAGCTATTTTGGTACCTGTTTGTACACATTTGGTGGCATTGCATTTTTACTACTTTTGAACTTTATCAGCAATAATATACTAAAGTTCATTTGGGGGGTTAAATTGTTGTATGCCTTTCTCTGTTTTTATTTGGAGCCAGCTTATTCTAGACCTGCGGTATGAAAATCCTTTTGATGTCTAGAGCCTGCGATTGTATTTTGCTATTTACCTAAGCCAGACAATTAGTAAAGAATAAAACATTTGTCAACTTAGTAATACATTCTGGAGCAAAACGGGATTTTTGTTGCTGTCTGCCATCATCACTAATAATTGTGTGAAGGGTGTATGTGGGTGTTGTTTTATATGTGCACTTGGGAGGGAATGAAACTGTAGGTCTTACTTCCTCTTCAAAGTTAATGCTACTGACGGATAGATTTTTGTATATGTACATAGGCCTGACTGGGGGGTGCTGTGTAACCAGCAATCTGTTCCTAATTGCTCATGTGGGTTTTCATTTGTTTCGTTAATAAATACAAATGGTGCTTCTTTGAATACCTCTGTACGTGTATTTTTGCACAGTCACAGATTGTCTACCTATATAATAAATTTTCACAATTGAAATGGTTAGGAATTCAAAGCAGTGCACATCTTGACTTGTAATACACATTTCTAAAATGTTTTCCAAAAAAGATTGCACAAATTTAAACTTCCAACAGTGCAATTGTGCACCAGTACTGGGTATTATCCATTAAATCTATAGCAAGCAACGTTTAAGTAATATTCATAAGAACATATAAGCTATGCCAGGGAGTTGGTCACAGAGTCTCTTCTGTGTCACCTTCCACTAATGTTTTTTGATAGGTTTTTCACCCCCATGTTTCGTGGCAAGCAGGGTCATGCCAGCTCCTTGATCTGGAGCTTCGTGCTTTTCTCTGAGTGCGACCTTATTCTTACATGATTTTTAGTTCGTGGAAAAATTGCAAGAATATTACAGAGAAGTTCACCCAGATACCACATGTTAACCTTTTTTACTGTATTTGCTTTATCCCTGTGTATATTTGCACACCACACACACACTCTTAACCTGGACCATTTGAACGTAAGAAGTTGACATCATAAACTTAACACTAAAGCTATTGTTTATAAAAATAAGGACATTGTCTTAATATCCTCTGTACAGTTATTAAAACCAGAAAATTAAAATTAATATAATTCTATTTTCTAATCTGTTAGTTTCATTCAGATTTTGTCAGTTCTTTAAATAATATTCTTTGTAGAAGAAGTAAATTCTGGATAGTATGTTGCATTCAGTTGTGAGAACGACATCCACGAAGATCACATATAAAAGTCTTATATGAAAAGTATGCATCGTAAAACCTACGGATGGCTTCAGCAAAAGGCAGCAATGAGACAATGAGCAAACCACTCCAGTTTCATGTATCAGGAGATTGACTGGGACAAACTGATACCAAATGCCCCCTAATACGATGAATCAAGAAGAGCAAAGTATATGGTATCACGTGTCTTCAGCGTCTTTTTAATCTGGGCCAGTCCCTCGGTGTTTTGTTTGCCTTTCATAATTTTGGTGCTTTTAAATGTAAAGTCCAGTTACTTTCTTAGCTATTTCACAATTTAGATACATGTTTCTCATGTTTAGATTCAGGTTCTGCATTTTTAGGGCAGTGATACCATATACTTTGCTCTTCTTGATTCATCGTATTAGGGGGCATTTGGTATCAGTTTGTCCCAGTCAGTCTCTTGATACATGAAACTGGAGTAGTTTGCTCATTGTCTCATTGCCGCCTTTTGCTGAAGCCATCCGTAGGTTTTACGATGCATACTTTTCATATAAGACTTTTATATGTGATCTTCGTGGATGTCGTTCTCACAACTCAGTTGTGCTGTCTGGATAATTAATAGGCTTGTGGCTGTGGGAAAATCCAGGTATGGATTTTTGGAAAGGTACCCTTAACCTGGTAATGATATCAGAGAGACCCAAAAAGCCAGATAGTGAAACTAGCTGGAGATGATGGTTTCAGTCATTTTGCATTTTTATATCTTTCTACTCTTCCTGATTTATCACACAAAATGCTGGTAGTCTGTTATAAAGTTAAGTTTGTTGTTGCTGTTTTTAATCGAAAACTAAAAGGCGGAATAAATGAACTTTAAAAACTAAGAAAACAGTACTTTTCAAATGTTCTACCAAGTAGAGGAAAGAGAAGGGGGAGCATGTTACTGTACCTGATGGCACCAGCTGCAAGCATGGCGTGTCTTTGAAATCTACCCCATGTGCTATTTATTCTGTTAATGAAACATGTTGCATACAGGTGATAGTCCAGGAGAATACAGCGTGCCTTGATCATCTGTGTTGGTAGTAGCCAAGGCCTATTAGTTACACCTGGAAAGTTGTAAGCCAGAACACTGTTTAATATGGTTCTTACCGTAAGAGCAGGTTCAAAACTAGTAACTGAAGTACAGCGAAGGCTGACATGTCTTGCTCAAAGTTGTGTGACTTAATAGGCTGTTTTCTGACATGGATAGAGAATAAATAAGCTTTTCAAAGTAAAGGCAAACTATATATTTACTCTAAATACATTTCAATTAACCTCTTCAATCATATTCAATAGGCTGAATACTTCAGTCTTTTCTAAAATTTTAGTTTTTATAAATCATATAGATGAATATCTTGACATTAATCACTGTCCTGTTTGTCCTAGTAACACGTATGTTTCCTTAGGGGATAGATTTGTAATCTCTTGTTCATTGATGAAAACGAATGCCTGTGCTCATCCCTGATCGGTGAGGTCATGAATCTGGAGACAGGGACAGAACATTTTACAGCCCTTTCCAGTTGGCTTCTTGTATTATTTTTTGGAGCAAATTGCTAAATCTTCCTAGTACTATTTGTTTTTGCTTTTCATATTATGTTTTCACAGAATATAGTAATAATGTGTATCACCTACTTGTTTCCCTTTACCAGTAGAATGATCAGGTATGGCTCCTTGAGGGTATAAATCACATTTCCTAATTTTTGCCCAGTTAAGTGCTATTTGATTTCACTGTCTGAAGTCATAGTTCAAAAATCTAAGTACTTTAGAATTGCATAAAATTTACATACTGTTTACAACAGATTTTGCTTAAAGTTTGCTTTAATTATGAGTTTGGATTATTCATACTTTTCGACTTTTTTTCCCCACAAATACTGAATCTTTGTTTCTTGCCTCAATTTATTTTAATCTCATTTCTTCATTAAACAGAAAATTTTTGAAATACGGAAAACTAGAAGAAATTACTTTGAGTTCCACAATCCAAAGGCAGAAGAGATTCCCATATGACTGGAGCTTGCTTTTCCAGCTGGCTCTGTTTTTAAAATATAAGTTCTGTTATTGTTACGAGTTTTTATTTTGTTTTGTCACGGTACAATTAATAATTGTATGTTTTTAAAAACATTTTTTTCTTGTCTCCTCCCCAACATTGATTTTTCACTTGGTTTTCTCGTGTGAAACATCTGTTAGCTAGAAAAGGTGTTAAGATGGTGAAGATGTGATAACATTTATTCTGTTTGTTTTCAATACGTTTGTGGTCATATACTTCCTTAACAGATGGGTAAATATAGAAGCAACTGTATCTGTTATGGGAGAAAACAATATTGTATCTCCATGGTGAGCAAAAAGGAAGTGTGTAATGTAATGTAATGTTTACACAGGTTTTTAATTTGAAAATTCTAATGGATTGGAGGATATGTGGGAACCTGAATACTCTTTACAGGTAGGAAGTCCTATGTTTAATGACTAAAGAAAAAAAATTTTTTTAAATCTTCACACTTCCAGGATGTGAAAATAGGTTTATTTACACAATTAACATTTCCCCCAGCTCTTCTTATTTTGAATAAAAGAGCATTGTTATTTTAGAAGGGGAAGCTAGTGAAATAAAAGTAAAATGAATTTGCTAGCTTAAAATTGTACTTACGACGATAATATATTTTGGATAATATAAATTGCCTTGAGCCATGGCATTACATGAACATTACCAGGTAATGATGGCATATAGATTTTTGTATTCTGTTTGCCAGTCCCAGCCTGAGGGAACAGTGTACAGAACAGACCAAGAAGAAATGGGCATGGATGTAATTAACATTGTGTAAGCTAATTGTTGCTTATCACTTAAAAAATAAAACAGGCTAGAACCATAACTTTAAATATATAACATAATTGATTATTATACTTAATTAAAACATTTTATTAGTTTGCATAAAATTTCAGAAACCTGCTCATGCAAACATGATAGTAACTACCTCTAATATTAAAAAAAAAAAAAAGATAAATTGGATAGCAGTGATTCTTTGTTACAGTGAGGAATTAACTCAGTATTTCATGAAATTTAAATTTTCCTAGGATACTGAACGCTTTAGTGTTTTTGTTGTTGTTTTGCTTTGCTAAATGTACCAACACCTATTATGAAAAGAATCTGAAGTAAGAGTGGTCAAAATTTGGTTGGTGCAACTTATTTCTGGTTTAGTTGTCAACACAGATCATGTCAGTGGCAGTCAGTGTTTTCTATTTATTTCATCTTTTTAAGTAATTTTTTTTCAGTTACACTTTACATTCAATAGTATTTTGTATTAGTTTCAGTATACTTGGCAAAGTGTTCCCCTGGTATTTCCAGCACCCAACTGGCACCATATTTACGTATTTTGCCAAGTATAATGTGTACTTTTTTGCCCGATTTTTTTGAAGTGTCTTTTTTTAATCTTTTAAAAAATATTTCTATTTATTTATTTATTTTAGAAAAAGCAGAAGGGAAAGAGAAAGACAGGGAGAGAAACATCAATGTGTGGTTGCCTCTCATGTGTCCCCAAGTGGGGACTTGGCCCACAACCCAGGCAAGTACCCTGACTGGGAATTGAGCCAGTAGCCTTTTGGTTCACAGGCTGCTACTCAATCTACTGAGTTATACCAGCTAGGGCTTTTGCCCCATTTTTTGAGGGAAAAGTAGGGATGTGTACTATATAGGATAGTACTAATTCCATATCCATATAAATGTTTTTAATTTCTTCTATTTATGCTTATGCGTTAAAAGTGTAACTCTAGAATGCAATAAGGATATCCATATGCAAAATGCCCTGGAATACAATAATCAATTTTGTTTCCAAATATAAATAAATCAAAAATGAATTAAAAAATTAAAAGCGAAAGATTTTTTTTCCTGAAAATTTGGGCCAAAAACATGGGTGCCCATTATACACTGGAGTGCACGGTGTATAATGTAGTTATAGGCACAGCACTGTAGTTATTGCAGTACGAGGGACTGTATTTCCTGTGCTGTACCTGCATCCCCATGAAGTAGAAACTTGTTTTTAAGAGAGATTTCAAATAAAGAAAAAAATTGTATCTGCCTATTTCACCATTCCCTTGCAAGAGAAACAGACAGAACTTAATCTTTAAATTTTAATTAGTCTCTGAGTAATTGATAGCTGCTTTTATTTATGCTGAACAGTGAAATGTTTTATTGCACAATATAAATACTGAATTATGAATTTTCTTAAGTTGCATTTAAAGATGTATGTTCTTTTTGCAGTAGATAATTCTTTTTTAAGAGGTTTTATGTATTTTTTAGAGAGAGGGTAAGGGAGAGAGAAAGGGGGGAAAAACTTCCATCTATGAGAAAAGCATCATTGGCTGCCTCTTGCATGCACACACTCCAACGAGGGACCAGCCTACAACCCGCCTGCAACCCAGGCATGGGCCCTGACCGAGAATCTAACCCAGCGACCCTTTGCCTTGTGGGAAGATGTCTGATGGCCAGGCATCCAAGCCATGCCAGTCAGGGCTGCAATATATAATTCTTGAAGTTTTTGTGTTAGTTATACATTAAATGAGTAGTGGGATATGGATCTTAATAAATGCAGGATACACAGTACCTTGGTATAACTTCACAGATTTTAATATGTAGTACTATGAACTTTATTAAATAATTAGGATTGAGTTCTATTGTAACTTTAGAATTATGCATTGTGAACCTACTAAATACTTGCATGAATTTTCTCAGGAAACCTATTTTCTTATTCTTCCCCCATTCCAAAGATTCAGTAACTATTAGTTTTAGTCAGATAATAGGCATGTGGTGGAATATGCATTAAAAAGAGGGCTGGGATGCACACAACAGTTTTTGGAGATGCTTTATTATATACTGAAGAAGCAGTCTAATCTTATTAATGTTTAAAACATTCCTAGCCTGAGGACGGTACCTAGATAGAATGGTGCATCATTTTGAAATGCTGTTCAAGCTCAGCAGGCAAACAATTATGTTCTCTTGCTCTCGTTTCCTATGGAGGAAGGAGTGATGTTGAAAACACACACAATCAGTAATTGCTGACTTCATGTAATGGATATTCCAAAGAAGACCATAGTTAACATTAAGTTGATAAGCTAATTTTGAAAGTGTTTCAGAGCAGTAGAAAAGAACATTTACATTTGAATATTGAGTGTAATAAACTAGTCATGTAATAAACCTGTATTCAATCCCAGAGGATGCTTGATGGTTGGAGTGTTGTTACAGAACAGACGGTGTGGGGAGATCCTCGTACCGAATGGATCTCTCCTCTTCTGGAGTTCCCCTGTACTAGGTTGGTCCTAATCACAGCCCTTAGGAATTATGGCTCTCGGTGTCAGAGTTTGGTGAAAAGGAAAGGGACTATTCATTCAAAAGTTATGCAGACTTAGAGTGATGACTTAATATCTTTGTTAAAATCCCAAAGTCCCTTAAAACACCCACAATCAAATACAGTCCTTCCTTCCCCTTTGCCCTGGCAGGCCAGTCTGGGGCACCATGTCTCAAAAAAAAAAAAAAAAAATTGAAGTCTGTGGCTCAGCTAGAAGGTCTCCCACAGTCCCCAGAACTATCAGCTGTGTTGCTGTGATCTCTAGTTCTTAATCCATAACCACATGGTACCTTCCCATGGCCCACTAGCGAGAGTCTTTTCACCCATTTCCCTTCCCACAGCATCTCCTGCATTCTTCCAAACTGCTGAGAGAAAGCTCTCCATGGCTGCTACATCTTACTTTCCTGCTTCCTGAGCCCCATGGTTAAGAGAGCCCCACAACTTAGGTTCCAATCCAGAACTGTGTGTTCTGCTTGGCATGGCTGCCTGGCCTGGATTTTAAATCCCAGGGGAAATCTTCCTCTACAGCCCCATTTTGGATTCCTCCCACAATCAGCTACACCTGCCAGCATTCCCGTGCGTTTCCAGCTTTTCTGGGCTGCCACAGTAAGTCTGCGCAGGCGTGGTCCTGAGGCATGGAGCCAACCTTTTCCAAGCTTTCACGAAGGCACTGTAACCAGGGGGGGCTTCCTCCCAGTTAGGTCATGGGTTAGAGTCACTCCCATCTCCCTGGTTCAAATCTGTGGCCCCCAGCTACTTAACGTATCTGTGAAACTAACCAGTTGTTACAGATATATTAAATAACCACTTTTGCATATTAGATATGAAGCTGGCCAACTGTTGACGTGCAAAATAACTCAGTGACCCTGCTCCATGTGTCCCATCCCCAGTTCAGACTTGTGGGGGTAAAGATATCCTATATTTTATAATTCCTGGACACCCCGAGTTCTGGACCCCATTTCAAATTCTTTGTTTGAGGGGGGGCACCGGCTGCACCACATTATATTAGTAGCTAGTACAAATGATAGTGGCATCATTGAAAAGCTTTGTCTCACTTGTTACCCGTCTCTAAAATGCTCATCATTTAATCCCTTAGGTGGATTCTGGCCACACCCCACTTTGTTTTTCTTTATCAAATTAATTTTGCTCTTAAATATATATGCAAAGTGTGTTTTTTTTTTTAAATCTTTGTTCAGGGATACATTATGATTTGAGAGAGAGACAGAAACATGGATAGGTGGCCTCCTGTGCATGCCCTGACTAGGGATGGAACCCGCAACGTGTGGAGCTTTGTGAGCTGACGGTGGATCAGCCTGAAACCTTTCGGTGCTGGGCTGTGCTCCAGCCAGTGGTGCCACACAGGCCAGGGCAAAGAGGCATTTTAAAGATGTCTTAAACTTCTTGAGTTTTGTAAAGTATTCTACATCTAATCTAGTGAGGCAGTTTTATTTGAATCATATGCTATAATGCTACATTTAATCAGTTTCACAGGTTCAAAAAAATATTTCCTATGAAAAAAAGATTCAGGAATAGATTTTTGCCTGTAATTCCATAACTGCAGTTCACAGGTTAGCGAACAGTTCAGTGTTTTAAAACCTGTTGTCATCATCTTTGCTGATGTTGCTACTAAAACATTGTGGGGCTTGTTGTTTTTTTTAAATTTAAAAAATTGCATATCCTGCCCTGGCTGGTGTAGCTCAGTGGATTGAGCGTGGGCCTTCAAACCAAAGGATCTGGGTTCGATTCCCAGTCAGAGCACATTCCTGGGTTGCTGTCCAGTTCCCAGCAGGGGGCGTTTGAGAGGCAACTATACAGTGATATTTCTCTCCTTCTCTCTTTCCTTCCCCTCTAAAGATAAATAAATAAAATGTTTTTAAAAATTGCATATTCTATAGGATAACATCAACAAGAATAATAGTTAATTTTTAAAGAAACGTGGATTATTTGTTCATTTTTTGGTACTACTTCAATTGAAGCCACTTTTCAATATTTTAGGATTAATGAAAACACCAAAATATTTAAAGCCACAGACACCTATTTTTATAAATTAGGAGTTCACGGACAATGTCATATAGCATTAAATTAGGGAATAAACTGAACCGCGTGGGATTCTAAGACTTCTATCGTAAAAGTTAGCAATTTTGTGGAATATCACAGATATAGAGGAATCTTTAGTCACATTAGGCTTAGGGCCTCTAACTGTAATTATGAACAAGCTACTTACTTAACCTGTTCATTTTGTTAACACAAAATTTTATTTTTTCCCCAAGTGCTGTGCCTTATTCACCACTTTTAGGAAGACCTTATTTTCTATTCAAAGGAAATAAATTATCTTAAACTTATTTATCTTGGTTAACATCATACTTAATTTCTTTATTTAGTTATTTTTGTCTATAACTAAAAATCAGTAATACAGTTCACCTTTGAGTAGCATGGAGGTTTGGGGTGCCGACCTCCTGTGTAGTCAAAAACCCAACTGTACACTTCTGACTCCCCAAAGCTTCACTAATACCTAATGTGGACTGGACGACTTACCAATAACATAAATAGCTGATTAACACATATTTTGTATGTTATATATGTATGATATACTGTAGTCTGAAACTAAAGCTAGCAAAAGAAAATGGTAAAAGTGAAAATACATTTACAGTATTTATTGAAAAAATCTATTAAGTTCAACGGCATGTTGTTCAAGGGCCTGCTGTAATTACTAACATTTATCGAGTACTTACTGCATTCCAAGTACTACTATATGTGTTTTGCAGGTAATAATCAACATTTAATTCCTTCAACAACCCCTGAGGTAGTGCAGTCACTCCCCTTTTGCAGAGGTAGAAGCTGAGGTCTAGAGAGTCACATGACCTCAAGGTTATACAGCAAGTAAAGACCAAATCGTGGATTTGAACTCAGCCCATCTCTTACTCTAGAAGCACAGGTGGCAAAACACAAGGCCCTCCACCTTGTTTTATCTGGCCCAGCACCTTGTTTCTACCTGGCGACAGCGCCAAGCTCTTGCTTAAATGTTAAGAAGTAGTTACATTTATGCAGTGCTAAAATTACTTTCAGCCCTTTGAAGGCAACCGAGGGGCTGATGTGGCCCCGGGTGAAAATGAGTTTGACATTCCTTCTCTAGAGCCTTTCTCTTAACCTCCATGCTACATTCTAATTCCAGCCTAAATCGTGGGTTCTTTTCCTTGTTTATGCTTTTGTCTTTGCCCTTTGCCAACCACTTGAAATGCTTCTGCATTAGTCTACCTAGCTCATTTCTTTATGAAGAAATGAGCACATACCATAAGCTAGGTAATCAACATGTGGCTTCAAATCTCAACTCTGCCTGCCATGTATTTACTTTGTGACATTGGGGAAATTGCTTTCTACATCTTTAAAATGGGCCAATATGATCAAAGAGGATACTGTACAAAAATGTATAGGTGATTGCTGTCACACTTGTGAACTGTATATCGTGGGCTGTGAGGAGTGTTCTGGGTGCTGTAGATTGTGTGAGATGTGGGTCTTTGGGTAAGGGTTTTTCAGAGTAGCCCTGGAAGGTACCCCAAGTCCTCATCTAATCAGTGCGCTACCTGCTCAGCGCCTACAGTAAGACCTACTTAGATAGAATATGTTGTTTTTGTTCAGGAGCCATTTTTGTATTTTGCTATTTCTGGGTATAGAGGTTTGTTTATTAGAGGATTTCTCTTTACACTGGTCAGTAGGATTGAAGTATATGTTACAACGGAGATTTCATGGTTTCTAAAAAGCTTTTTATGGAATGTGTCATGTTCAGTTATTTTTCTTATTTATTTATTTATTTATTTTTCAGAAAATTTGGTGAGCGGCCTCCACCTAAACGACTTACTAGGTAAGCATTCCGTTGGTCAGCCTTTCACCCAAACTTTGCATGGAAGTGTTATGTCCTGTCATGTTCAAAGCTATATTAAGTGCTCTTGAAAAGAAGTTATTAAGCTTATAGGTTATAGGCTTATTCCCATCCTCCTTAATCTACACTTCCCCCGTCCGAACCCACCCCCCTCATGAAAATAACATGATAAGAGGATATATTTCACAGGGGAAATGAAACCTTTGTATAATTAATTTTGTGTAATATAGTTAATATAACAAGGGCAGTAATTTTAAAATAGTTTTCTATATCTGGCTTCATTTAGCCAGTCACAATTTGTTGATTATAAGCAGGACTTGAAAAATATTTAATAAATGCTTTCAGAGAATAATTTCATAGAAAACACAAATTTTTACACATTTTAATGAATCTGTAAATATCATGTGTTCTAAAAAATTTCTAATGGTCACTGCTTGTAAAATAAAAAGGAAGACACCTGTTTCAGTCCTAGAGTTAATGCTAAGCCTGCATTGTTAGTATTTTTCAAGAAATTGTAGGTATATAAAAACATATATATGTTTATAAACATATATGTTTATATGACTTTTTTTTTTTAAGTCTGGCATTATACTTGACTGTTGCTCTCTACCACTTGTACCTCATTCTCTACATTGTCTTCACATTTCTTTTGTTTAGTGTTCATATTAATGGCCATTTGGGTAGTGGCCATTGGTACATTATTGCTATTATTAAAAAGCTGTTGCACTCAAAGAATGATGGGGACATGCCAAAAGGACTCGGCCAGCTTGAGGAGGCTTCCTTTTAGCTAACCATGGACACACTTAGATCATCAAAATAAATAATAATAGTAATGGATTAGCATCCATGTAGTAAAATGGCAGTTTAGAATTCTGCACTGAGTTAAAAAGTGAAGCAATGAACGGGGAGCAAAGGAGATAGCTTTTCCTTATAGAAGAAATGCACCTAATAAATATAAAAGGAATGATGGGATTAGGAAATCACACTTTGGTAATCATTACAATGCTAATCATTTCAGGCAAAAAATCATCAGTGAATGTTTAAACTACTGGTTTAAAAATCTGCTGGGAAACAAGATATTTACATAGTGTCTAAGCATGTCCCCACAAAGTATTTGTTAATTAAAAATGAAAAATAGTTGCATGACAGTGAAGAAACCTGGCAAACACCACCTTAATTAAATTATCTAAGTTAATACCACCAGTGACAGACAGACAAATGTTACGTGCATCCCGAGAAGGACACAATATTACTTTTGTGGTGTTCTTGCAAAAATATGTAAGCGAAACGTAAGCATAAGGAAACATCAGAAGGAGGTAAATGAGGGGCATTCTGTAAAATAAATGGATTTACTTTTCAAAATTTTCAAGATTGTGATAAACAAAGACCGAGGAACAACAGGTTAAAGAAGACCAACAAGACACAACAACTACATTCAACTAAATCCTGGACCAGGAAAAAATTTTTCTTTTATCTAAAGCTGGAGTCCGGCAAACATTTTCTGTAATGAGCCAGATAACAAACAGGTTACACTTTTTGAGTCTGTTGTGACTTATCAGCTCTTTTCTTATATCCCCAAATTAGCTATAGAAAACATGTACATGAATGGTATGTCTGTTCCAGCTCAACTTAATTTAGAAAAACTGGTGGCCACCCTGATTTGGCCTGAGGGCAGTAGTTTCTCAAAGCTACTCCCATTACTCCCAGTGAGGCACAATAGTGGGACGATGGCAGCACGATAAAAAAATCCTATAGGTACAAATAGTGTGTCAGTGGTCATTGCGTTGTGATTAAAGTATTTGGGGTAAAGGGATTTTATCTCTACTGGTGCTCTTAAATGGTTTAAAAACATAGTATGCAAATATGGTAAAATGTTAACATTTGAGGAGTCTGGGGGAAAGGGGACTCTTTGAACTACTTTTTCAGCTTTTCTATAAGTCTGTAATTACTACAATATATATGTTTAAAATTCTTTTTAGAATGTCATTACATAAATATTTCAGATGAAGTAGGCTGGGAAAATTTAACTTTTCTCACAGGTTCATGTAAATATATTTTCAGTTACTTATTTTTATACAGTATATCTTGAAGAAATTCTAAGTGGAATCGCTTAATTCACTTATATAGGCAGTTTAAAATTTAATTGACAAATATTTTTATTTCATTACCAGCTGCACTAGGTTGGAATGACTCCTGATAATAAAATATATTCTGATGAATAAATCAGTTACTTGAATGGATACCTCTGTAAAAATAGCAATCAATACAGTGATAATAAATATAAGGAAAAGTTCCTTTCCTTAAATATATATACAGTAATGTAGTTAGCTCCCATCTACTTTATCGTGATTTTCCATTTACCCTTTAAGCAATTATCCCTGTTTGGAAAATTTTAGTAGCTTTTAGGACTTCTGCTTCTGGCCAAGATGGAGTAGCAGGGACTGGAATTACTCTCCAGCCTGAAAGAACTAAAAACCTGGACAAAATATATGAAACAGCAGTTTTCAAGATATTGGACTGCAGGCACGAAAGGACAGTGATGCTTGAGAGACAGGAGGCAAATGAGGTGAGCCCTGCTCCAGCTTAGTGCCTGGAGAGAGTGCCAGGACATGATGTAGGAGGGGAATCCCAGCGGAGCCTGGTGAGCACCTGGAGTTGAGGAGGTGGAATTGGGAATCTGGGGAGTCAAGGGGGCTAGAATTTCCCAGGCAGAGAACTGGAGGGGAAAGGGCTCTGAAGAGTTCCAGACATCTGCAGAGGGTTCCCTTTATCCAGCTGAGCATTGCCCAGCATGTGTGTGTGAGGAAACTACCCAAGGTGGTGGGGGAAGCCAGCCTAAAGAATTCCTAAAGCTCACTCAGCACTACAGATTGTTCCTATTCCCGATAGCCAGTGTGGAAACATCCTACGATGCACGGTGCATTGACTAGAGTGCACAGAAGGGTTTTCCTTCATCAGTGGTGCAAAATGAGGCCCAGACTAAATGTTGTTGCCCTGGTCACCTAACTTCAAAGCAGATTGAAGGGATCAGACTCTTTCCAAGTAACTTATCTGTGTACCAGAAAAATGCACAAGAATAGAAAAATATTCAGCGCTCAAAAAAGTAAAATTTATTGAGTCTTTTTTTTTTTACGAGGGAAATAGTGATTTGTTGTTCCACTTATTTATGCATTCATTGCTTGCTTCTTGTATTCGCCATGACCAAGGATTGAACCCACTATCTTGGCATATTGGGACAATGCTCTAACCAACTGAGCTACCCTGCCAGGGCTGTTTAGTCTTAATATTTAATCAAAACATACTAGTCTTACAAAGAAGCAGGAAATGTCCATAATGAGGAAGAAAAACTAGTCAAAACCTACCCACAAATGACACAGATGATAGAGCATCTATCATAGCCATTAAAACATTTATAGACATTAAAGTAAGATGATAGAAATTAAAACAGTTTATATTTGTCTTCTATATGTTCAAGAGGCTTAGATCAGAAGTTCACAAAATTTTTCTCTGAAGGATCAGATGGTAAACAGTTATCTTTTTTTGCGGCCCTTATAGCCTCTGTTGTAACTACTCAATCCTGCTGTAGCATGGAAGGAGCCATTTGGCACTATGTAAGCCAATGGGTATGTCTGTATCCTGGAGGACAAGTGTATTTCTAAAACAGGCGGTGCATTGGATTTGGCCTGCAGGTTTTGATTGTGCATCCCTGGACTAGAGGAGAGATTGAACAAGCTAAATAGAGAACATGGAAGATTAAAAAAAAGGGAAGATCTAAATGAAAGTTTTAGAAAAGGAAACCACTGACTAAAGATGAAAAGATACACTTTATGGGATTAATTGCAGGTGTGCACTGCTGACTACGGGATTAGTCACCTTGAAGACAACCATAGAAACTATCCAAAATGAAAAAACAAAACAAAACCCATAGCACTATCCAAAATGAAAAAAAGTCTGAAGAAACAAAATCCTTAGTGAGTTGTGGTGTATGTTCAAGTGGACTATAATATACATGTAGTTAAAGTCATGGAAAGGGAGAGGTTATGACTGAAAAATATGTGAAGAAATAATGGCTGAAATTTTTCTAAATAAATAAACACTAAAACCACAGTTTCAAGAAACTCAGTGAGCCCCAAGTACAAACTATGGATACACATCATAATCGAGAAAATGGTAAGAAAAGCAAAGATAAAAGTTAAACTATATACAGAGGAACAAAGATAAAGATGATGGGATTTTTCACCTGAAACTTTGCTAGGTTGAAAGAAGACAGTGGAGCCAGAACTTTAAAGTACCCAAAGGGACAAAAGATAGTAACCCAGGATTCTATACCTAGAAGAGGCAAAACTAAGATCTTTTTAGAACAACAACAACCAAAAAAACCTTAAAAAAATTTAATCACAAATAGGCATGAGCTGTAAGAAACATTAAAGAACTCCTTTAAGTAGGGAGATCATACCAGATAGAAATCTGATTCTGAACAAATGACTATCAAATATGAGAAAGATGGTATCATTGCAGATTGTACACATAGTTAAAAGATAACAAGCATATATTATGAATAATTTTCTGCCAGTAAATTCAATGTTTGAAGAAATGTACAAATTTCTTGAAACTAGCAAACTACTAAAGTTTACTCAAAAAGAAACTGGTAACCTGAATAGCCCTATAGCTAAAAAAATTGAATTTGTATTTCTGTATCTTTCCACAAAGAAAACTACAGGCTCAGGTGATTTCATTGTTTAATCCTACCAGACATTTAAGAAATAAATCCTGCCAGTTCTGTACGTACCGTACCCTTTCAGAAAATTGGAGACCAGGACATACTTCCCAGATCATTCTGTGAGGACAGTATTGCCATGTTAGTAAAAGCAAAGACATTATATTAAAAAAAACCCCAGAAACTACAGACCAATATTCCTTATGAACATAGAAGCAAAAAATCTTGAATTTTCAGAATGAATCCAACAGTATGTAGAAGGGAT